AAGATTGACATTAGACAAATAAAAAGAAAGAAAGAAATACATTAGAAAGAAAGAAAGAAAGAAAGAAAGATTGACATTAGACAAATAAAAAGAAAGAAAGAAAGAAATACATTAGAAAGAAAGAAAGAAAGAAAGAAAGAAAGATTGACATTAGACAGATAAAAAGAAAGAAAGAAAGAAATACATTAGAAAGAAAGAAAGAAAGAAAGATTGACATTAGACAAATAAAAAGAAAGAAAGAAAGAAATACATTAGAAAGAAAGAAAGAAAGAAAAGAAAAAAAGAAAGATTGACATTAGACAAATAAAAAGAAAGAAAGAAAAGAAAAAAGCATTAGAAAAAAAGAAAGAAAGAAAAGATTGACATTAACAAATAAAAAAAAAAGAAAGAAAGAAATGCATTAGAAAGAAAGAAAAAAAAGAAAGAAAAGAAAAAAAAAAGACTGACATTAGACAGATAAAAAAAAAAAAAAAAAAGAAATATATTAGAAAGAAAAAAGAAAAGAAAAAGATTGACATTAGACAGATAAAAAAAAAAGAAAAGAAATGCATTAGAAAAGAAAAAAGAAAGAAAGAAAGAAAAAGATTGACATTAGACAAATAAAAAAAAGAAAGAAAAAAAAAAAAATGCATTAGAAAGAAAGAAAGAAAGAAAGATTGACATTAGACAGATAAAAAGAAAGAAAGAAAGAAATACATTAGAAAGAAAGAAAGAAAGAAAGAAAGATTGACATTAGACAGATAAAAAGAAAGAAAGAAAGAAATACATTAGAAAGAAAGAAAGAAAGAAAGAAAGATTGACATTAGACAAATAAAAAGAAAGAAAAAAAAAAGAAATACATTAGAAAGAAAAAAGAAAGAAAAGAAAAGAAAGATTGACATTAGACAAATAAAAAAGAAAGAAAAATGCAAAGAAATGCAAAGAAAAGAAAAGAAAAGAAAAAGATTGACATTAGACAGATAAAAAAAAGAAAGAAAGAAAAAAATACATTAGAAAGAAATACATTAGAAAAGAAAGAAAGAAAGAAAAGAAAAGAAAAAAGAAAGAAAAAGATTGACATTAGACAAATAAAAAGAAAGAAAGAAAGAAATACATTAGAAAGAAAGAAAGAAAGAAAGAAAGAAGAAAGATTGACATTAGACAAATAAAAAGAAAGAAAGAAAGAAATGCATTAGAAAGAAAGAAAGAAAGAAAGATTGACATTAGACAGATAAAAAGAAAGAAAAGAAAAATACCTTAGAAAGAAATACATTAGAAAAGAAAAAGAAAAGAAAAAAAAAGAAAAAAGATTGACATTAGACAAATAAAAAAAAAGAAAGAAAAGAAATACATTAGAAAAGAAAAGAAAAAAAGAAAGAAAAGATTGACATTGAACAAATAAAAAAAAAGAAAAAAAAATGCATTAGAAAGAAAAGAAAGAAAAAAGAAAGAAAAGATTGACATTAGACAGATAAAAAAAAAAAAAAAAGAAATGCATTAGAAAGAAAGAAAGAAAGAAAGATTGACATTAGACAAATAAAAAGAAAGAATGAAAGAAATACATTTTAAAGAAAGAAAGAAAGAAAGAAAGAAAGGAATATTGACATTAGACAAATAAAAAGAAAGAAAGAAATGCATTAGAAAGAAAGAAAGAAAGAAAGAAAGAAAGATTGACATTAGACAGATAAAAAGAAAGAAAGAAAGAAATATATTAGAAAGAAAGAAAGAAAGAAAGAAAGAAAGAAAGAAAGATTGACATTAGACAGATAAAAAGAAAGAAAGAAAGAAATGCATTAGAAAGAAAGAAAGAAAGAAAGAAAGAAAGATTGATATTAGACAAATAAAAAGAAAGAAAGAAAGAAAGAAATGCATTAGAAAGAAAGAAAAAAAAAAGAAAGAAAGAAAGAAAGAAAGAAAGATTGACATTAGACAGATAAAAAAGAAAGAAAGAAAAGAAATACATTAGAAAAGAAAGAAAAGAAAAAAAAGAAAGAAAAGAAAAGAAAGATTGACATTAGACAAATAAAAAAAAAGAACGAAAGAAAGAAATGCATTAGAAAGAAAGAAAGAAAGAAAAAGAAAGATTGACTTTAGACAAATAAAAAAAGAAAAAAAAAAACATTAGAAAAAGAAAGAAAGAAAAGAAAGAAGAAAAGATTGACATTAGACAAATAAAAAGAACGAAAAGAAAAGAAATACATTAGAAAGAAAGAAAAGAAAGAAAAGAAAAAAAGATTGACATTAGACAAATAAAAAAAGAAAAAAAAAAAATACATTAGAAAGAAAGAAAGAAAGAAAAAGATTGACATTAGACAAATAAAAAAGAAAGAAAAGAAAAGAAATGCATTAGAAAGAAAGAAAAGAAAGAAAAAAAAAAGAAAAGATTGACATTAGACAAATAAAAAGAAAGAAAAGAAAGAAATGCATTAGAAAAAGAAAAAAAAGAAAAAAGAAAAAAAAAAGATTGACATTAGACAAATAAAAAAGAAAGAAAAAAAAATGCATTAGAAAGAAAGAAAAAAAAAAAGAAAGAAAAAAAAGATTGACATTAGACAAATAAAAAGAAAAGAAAAAGAAAGAAATGCATTAGAAAAAGAAGTAAGAAAGAAAAGAAAGAAAAAGAAAGATTGACATTAGACAAATAAAAAAAAAAAGAAAAAATGCATTAGAAAAGAAAGAAAAAAGAAAGAAAGAAAAAAAAAAAAGATTGACATTAGACAAATAAAAAAAAAGAAAAGAAAAATACATTAGAAAGAAAGAAAGAAAAAAGAAATAAAAGAAAAAGAAAGATTGAAAGACAAATAAAAAGAAAGAAAATACATTAGAAATTAGAACAAATAAAAAAGAAAGAAAGAAAAGAAAAATTGCATTAGACAAATAAAAGAAAAGAAAGAAAAGAAATGCATTAAAAGAAAAGAAAGAAAGAAAGAAAAAGAAAAGAAAGAAAGATTGACCGTAACAGATAAAAAAAAAAAGAAAGAAAGAAATACATTAGAAAGAAAGAAAGAAAGAAAGAAAGAAAGAAAGAAAGAAAGAAAGAAAGATTGACATTAGACAAATAAAAAGAAAGAAAGAAAGAAATGCATTAGAAAGAAAGAATGAAAGATTGACATTAGACAGATAAAAAGAAAGAAAGAAATACATTAGAAAGAAAGAAAGAAAGAAAGAAAGAAAGAAAGAAAGAAAGAAAACGACTTGAAAATAGATACGTCCTGGGAATTAAGAAAGAAAGATAAGTAAAAAATAAGAAAACTAGACACTGAATAAGATAGAGAAATGCTGGGAATTGAATAAAAGTTATTCTTAAACGTAATTTATCAAGTTGACCACGTAGACCTTTTCTAGTGCAGTGAGTTCGATTCATACTAGATACCGCCTTATTTTGTCCTACACTTAACAAACACTAACATACATATGATTATATTATTGAGTGATCCTAGTTCGCCTTTGAAAAATCTATAAATTGATTTCAGTTTGAATCCTCCTAGGCCATAGTAATACATGACACTGCTTAAATCTTTGTGCGTGTGCTAAAGGAAAGAGTGGGGGATGAAAATATTATTCTAAAATATTTTGTATGAACTTTAATCATGTTGCATTCAATCATAAGTTTTCCATCACTTTATTGTTTGATATATAAGGCTGATGCGTTGAGCATCTCGAGATGGTGTAATGGTTAACAAGCTTGAACAGTTACGATTGAGTAGTGAATTCGATCCTCAGTGGGTGCCCCATACTTTCGGCCTTGTGTCACATCTGAGCTAGGCTTGGAAAATCACTATGACGTTGATGTGTGTCTAAATCAAAAAGTTGTTCTATGTCCTCAGTCAACTTAAATTTTTTTTCGGAAGATTTTTTTTTTTTTGTAATCATTTCACCCCAAGTAAGGCGACAGTGCTACTAGAACGCAGTGGGGTTAAAGAGAATGAAAATGAATGAGAATATTGAAAATAAGGAGGGCTGAGGAAATGGCAAAAAAAGGAACAGGCATCAAGAAGTCAGATGATGGCGATTGACGTTGTATTTAACTTTTTGAAGATTGTCAGGGAAGCAAGAAATCGGAAGGGAATTTCACAGTTGGGAAGTGCAAAAAGAAATCTGTCTGACAGTTGCATCGATCTAGCTCAACTCTAAAACAGTGATACTTAGTGGCCCATCTAGTAGCACGCTTAAATTCATGTAGTCGGGGCACCAGGGAAAAAAAAAGCTTGACCGAACATTTACCATGAAAATATTTGGAGAACAGGCAGAGGGAAGTCACGTCATGTCCGTGAGAAGGTGACTGGAGTCAAGATGTCTGGTCAGAACCGGTTGTATTGCGGACTGTTCTCTGGATTTTGTCAAGAATCTTGAAATGCACAGTAGAAGCACCGAGCCAGATAAGGCAACAGTATTTAACACACGGATGAATGGTAGATTTATATATGTGCAAGATGGATAATTTTCTGGTACGACACATTGAATCAACTTTCTTAGCAGCGTACCTAGCAATTGAGTCAATATAATCGTTTCTCTTCATGTCAGCAGAGAATCTTATCCCAAGAAGTTGCAATTAACTGCTCTTCTGGAATTTCAGCCATATCAATCGAAGACACAAGTCAAAGATATTAATAATCTATTCAAAACATCGAAAGATATGTTGTTTTTTTTTCAATCATTTCAACACCACCACCACCCCCGCCAAAAAGAAGAGGTAAAGCCAATAAGACACAAGGAGTTATTGAGTATGAAAGAATGAGAGAAAAAAAAAGAGAAACATTATTAAGGAACAAGAACAATAAAAGCAGAGGAATCCGGAAGACATCTTGAAACCAGAAGAGAGTGCGAGGGAATAAACTGTTAGCATAGAACTTACGGTTGCATCTAGTCATTTCGATTGTAAATTGACGAGGCCTTGTCGAAATCTTGTACTGTGCTTAAATTCAAAATGTCTAAGTACCTGAGCGGAAAGTTCATCAGAACAGTTATCATGAAAGTATTAATTAAAAAAAATAGGTAAACTACATCACGGCGTCGGGAAAATGACTGAAGACGAGATATCAGGTCAGGACTAATAATGTTGCAGATTGTTCTTTGAAATTTATCAAGTCTCTCTAAAAATGTATCAGGAGTAACAGAACAGATATGGCAGCAATATTCAAAGCATGGACGAATGGTAGACTTATAAATATGTAAGATAGATTCAGGTGAAAAAAAATTGTCTGGCACGACACAGTGAACTAACTTTCTTATGAGCAGATTTAGCAATCAAGTCAATATAAGGATTCCACTTCATGTAAGTGGATATTTTTTCTTTGCGCTTCATCTTATCCTCCGCTTCTTCTTTCTTTCTTTCTTTCTTTCCTTCTTTGTTTCTTTTTTCCTTCTTTCTTTCTTTATTTTTTCTTTCTTTCCTTCTTTCTTTCCTTCTTTCTTTCCTTCTTTGTTTCTTTCTTTCATTCTTTCTTTACTTCTTTCTTTCCTTCTTTTTTTCCTTTTTCTTTCTTTCTTTTTCCTTTTTCCTTCTTTCTTTTTTCTTTCTTTCTTTCTTTCTTTCTTTTTCTTTCTTTCTTTCTTTCTTTTACTTCTTTCTTTCCTTCTTTCTTTCCTTCCTTCTTTGTTTGTTTTTTCTTTCCTTCTTTGTTTCTTTCTTTCCTTCTTTCTTTACTTCTTTCTTTCTTTCTTTCCTTCCTTCTTTCTTTCTTTGTTTTTTCTTTCTTTCCTTCTTTCTTTCTTTCTTTCCTTCTTTCTTTCCTTCTTTGTTTCTTTCTTTCATTCTTTCTTTTCTTCTTTCTTTCTTTCCTTCTTTCTTTCCTTTCTTCTTTGTTTCTTTCTTTCCTTCTTTCTTTACTTCTTTCTTTCTTTCTTTCCTTCCTTCTTTCTTTATTTCTTTATTTTTTCTTTCTTTCTTTCTTTCTTTCCTTCTGTCTTTCCTTCTTTCTTTCTTTCCTTCCTTCTTTGTTTCTTTCTTTCATTCTTTCTTTACTTCTTTCTTTTTTCTTTCTTTCCTTCTTTCTTTTCTTCCTTCTTTCTTTCTTTATTTTTCTTTCTTTCTTTCCTTCTTTCTTTCTTTGTTTCTTTCTTCCATTCCTTCTTTACTTCTTTCTTTCTTTCTTTCTTTCCTTCTTTCTTTCCTTCCTTCTTTCTCTCTTTCTTTCTTTCCTTCTTTCTTTCTTTCTTTCCTTCTTTCTTTCTTTCCTTTTTCTTTATCATCGTGATATTTTACGTTCTTTTTCTAATTCTACTTCACTTTCCTTTACGATAACCTTCTTTTTTCAAACTTTTCTTCTCTAGGTCTATCTTCACACCCCCACCATCAACACTTTTTTTCATATTTCATCCTCAGCTCTCATTCTTTTTTCTGTCCATTCACTCTCTAACTCTTCTTCCCTTTCCTCGTCTTTCCATTTTTTTTTTTTTTCTCTTCTCTTTTTTTCATTTTTTCCTCTTTCGTCACAATCATCATTTCTTGGAGTATGCTAATTTCTTTTAAAGTTCCTGAATAAGTTGATACCTTTTGTTATTGTCCTAATCCCCTAATTAAATACTGCGCGTCCAATTTTCTCTAAGTGTTCACGAAAGTAGGTTCTTCACTGAACTCAACGAGCCACTCTTTCATATATCTCTCTTGGGTCTCACGTGCCATTCTTAAATATGAAAGAAAAAAGAAATCTATCGACCGAATGAGTGGCTGTCTTTCAAAGTAAAGCCAGTCACGCCATGTCGTGCATGTAGTGTCTGGCAGTAACACTGCCCGCCATTAGAAACATTTTTCTGGTATTAAATACAACCTCGGATGTTTCTATGTAATTCCATCATATTTTGGGCGAGTATTAATTTTTTAAAAAAGATACAGAGGATTATATATATATATATATATATATATATATATATATATATATATATATATATATCTATCTATACATATTGTATTTGATTTTATTGGTTTTCTATATCAACTGTTATATCCATCTCTCGTTCGTTCATACTTTCACTGCCCCTCTATCAAAAAGACACACACGCTAACACACACATTTATGAGCCTATATACCTATATACGTATATTTATATATGCATGTATTTGTGCACGTGTATGTGTGTTTTGCTGCTATCTATATAAGTATACATATAAATTACAATTGATCAATTTTTCATAATTGTATCTCTTTCTCTGTCATTCTAAATCTCTCTCTTTTCTTTCTCTCTCTAACTCTATCCAGCTATATATATATATATATATATATATATATATATATATATATATATATATATATATATATACAGTGGGAAAGAGAAAAGAACAAAAAAAAATATATTTCTATTTTTCTTCTTCCTCTCTCCCATTCTTTAACCCATCGTATTACACACACTCCCTTCTCTATCATTCTAAATCTCTCTTTGTTTTTCTTTCCTCTCTCTAACTCTATCCATATATATATATATATATATATATATATATATATATATATATATATATATATATATATATATATATACACACACAGTGGGAAAGAGAAAGAGCAAAAAGATTATATTTCTATTTTTCTTCTTCCTCCTCTCTCTCCCATTCTTTAACACATCGTATTACACACACACACGTACACAAATGCACACACACACATTCTTCAGAATATATATATATATATATATATATCTTCTGAAGAAATAATGGATTTATTTTTAACCCGACATTTTTAGCGTTTGAAGTAATATATATATATATATATATATATATATATATATATATATATATATATATATAATATACATATGATAGCGACAGAAATAACAAAAAAAAAGCGGTGTAACAACAAATTATATTTTTTTATATTTTTCTTCTCGTTTTAATATGCCCGCTTTTATCACTATTATCAAATTTTGTATCCCAGTAAATATATATATATATATGTATATGTGTGTCTGTGTGTGTGTGTGTGTGCGCGCGCGCTTAATTTTAGCAAGCTCATTGCATACATTCTAGAATCGTTTCTTTAATCTTTTTTTTTTCATTTTCTTTTTTTTTTAGGGGTCAGGTTTCATTTTCCGTCTATCTTTTAGCCCTGATCATTCTACAGTGCTTTTAGTTTCGTTTTACTTTGATTGGTTTTCCACTGTTAATGCTTATTAGGTAAAGGCTTTTCAACGATCTCTTCCCACTTTCCATTGTAATCTGGAGTCAAGAGGCGATGACTTTGCCCTTTAGAGTGTGTAGACTAGCATCCTCATCACATCTGCATGTATCCGTCGACTAATAACAATTGTTCATCTCGGAATGCTCACTAACACAATATTGGGCGGCGAATGATGTCTATCGTTTGGAGAGAATGTTTTATCAGGAATTGTCTGTTCTAAAATACACTGTTTATTGTTAGTTGGTTGGTGATTTTGTTTAGTGGCCTAACAACCTCTATGTATTATTTAATGCCGAAATCTAAATATTTTGAACACAACTTTATAGATTTAACTAAATATTATTTGAACGCAATTGTATGCCTCCAACTACAGATAAAATGTATTGCTGGTCACTTTACTTTAAAAATGTATTGCTACTCATTTTACTATTATTATTATATATTATCGTTGGTCATTTTACTATAAATATGTATTCTTGGTAATTTTACTATAAAAATGTATTGCTGGTATTTTTCCTATAGAAATGTATTTTTATACTTTCGTAGTGTTTTGATGTTTTTAGATGTTTACTATTTTTTTCATAGATGGGACCCTAAAAGGTACTACCACCCGGGTCAGGGTCAACCTGGGACCAACAGCAATTAAGAGGTGGTTTCACGCTCCTCAAAACCCCTACTCTTCTATCAGAGGCCTTGGTGCCGGATATGGTTTATCGTCATACACAAGAATAACAATTTGTAGTTTCGAAATGACAAGTTTGGTAGAAATATTTCTCGGTCGTATATGTGATTTCTTCTCATTGATGTTGTGTCGAAAGGTAGTAAAGAATTGCGAATAAAACGTTTCCGGTTAAAATTCCTCGGAAATTACCAATGGCAACATAAAAATTGGGAAAATCAGACGAACTTAAATCTCATATTCAAGACAATGAGGTTAAAGTTACTAGTCTAAGTTATTCAATGTATGACACAATGTGCCGTGATTATGTTGTCAATTTAATTATAAATGATTTTATCTGATCTCGGGTGACCTACAGTTTTATGATATCCAACAGTAACATGAAGATGCGAGAGCTTCAAAGCAACTAACTCTTGTCCAGAAAAGTAGAAAAGGAAATTAATTATATGAATAAATAAACATAAAACTTCCGGGTTCAAGTGCCATTCGAACGGAAGGTAGGAAGAGATATACAGGACAGTGAGAGCAACAGTTGCAATCAGAGATGGCAATCGGAGTTCTCGGCGGTAGAAGGGAAGGTCTAGTCTGTTAGTCTGTTGTGTCAGACGATAGAAGTAGCAGCGAAGATGTCCCAAGTGTCACTAACCTACCTCCAGGTAGTTCCTGTTGAATCCATGAATAAAAAACGCAGTACGCTGCAAACGACAGACATGTTTTCTTTTCTCGTCCTGGAGATATTTTCATCTTCTATTTCTTTGTTGAACGTACACAGAACAACTTTCAGTTTGTTCACACCAATGCAAACAGGGATCGAACCACGGCGTGAGGCAGAAGTGGGTTAGTCGAAGAAAAAAAAAGGAGTCGTTCACAGTTGTGTGTGTGTATATATATATATATATATATATATATATATATATATATATATATATATATATATATATCGAATGTAATGAGGACGAAAATAATATATAAATTCTAACGCTGACAGCATTAATTCAAAAGAGGGCTCAATGCCAACAGTAGAGCAATAACTATTTATTATAATTTTTACATATAAACGAAAACAATTTACTAACTACAAAGATGCAACCTTGTTTCGGTGCATTTATTTGCACCTCGACTGGTGAGAACCAAAATGTTTATGAAGAATTCTGTTTGTAAACATGCCATTTTTTGGTTCTCGCCAGTCGAATACAAAAATAAATTGTTTTTGTTATATGTAAAATTTATAATATATATATAGTTTATGAAAACTAGGTAATCCGTATGGATAGACCCAAGGAGGATAAAATCCAGAGAGCTCAATGTAAATCCAGAGCAAATAATTTCAATACATATATATATATATATATATATATATATATATATATATATATGTATATATACACACACACACAAATACGTACATATATATATATATATATATATATATACATATATAAATATATGTATGTGTGCATGTATGTGTATGCATATATATATATATATGTGTGTGTGTGCGTGTGTGTGTGTATGTGTTTCTGTGCATGTGTTTGTGTATGTGTATCTATTGCTATAAATGATATATTGATTATACATGTTTGGATCGACATTTCTGGTCTTTTTTACAGTGAAAATTAATGTCTATCGAGATATCTATTAAAGAAAATGTGGCTCTTGACAGGAATCGAACTTAATAAGAGAAGGCATTTTTTAATAAGACTCTCATTTCCGAAGCAGGTAAACATTATTTTCAATATTTAAAATAAGACGAAACCTACTCAAATACGGATTCCTCTTAATATAAGGTTTATAGTATTTAGAAATAATGTTGGATTAAAAAATTAGTTTTTTATCATTTCACCCAAATCAAGACAATAAAGTCACTACGGCGCAAGGGGTAACTGCGTTTGAAAGAATATGAGAAAAAGAAAAATTTCATTAAGGATAGAGTACAATAAAAGAACAGGAATTAAGAAGAGAGAAGTTAACGTTTGATTATAGCATTTAAATGTTTGAAAATAGAGGTTGACTGGAAAGCTAGAAGTCGGTAGAGAGTTACAAACGCGACAGATGAGAGAAGAAACTTTTAGCATAGAATTTGCAGTTACATATAACCATTTCAACTACAAAATGATGAGACCTAGTTGCCAATCTAGTCCTGCATTTAAATACGCAAAATCTAGGAACCATACAGGAAAGCTCATTAGAACAATTACCGAGAAAACATTTATAGAAAATGTCCAGGAAAATTTCGCTACGGCGGTGGAAAGGTAAGAGAAGTCAGGAACGATAGTATTATAGATTCTTCCTCTTCTTTTTTTTAGAACAGCTTCCCATTTTAACTTATCTAACCGATTAGACTTACTATTGAGAACGGAATAAAGAGTTCTGTTGTCGGCATATACCGAGTTGAAACGTCATCAAGAATGTCGTTGATCAAAATTAGGAACAAGGTAAGTTCAAAGATAGAGCCTTGGAGGAAATCATACATTTTACGAGCGAGAAGTCTGATAGAAGAAACTGTTTGGATAGAATTTACGGTTACATCTCGCCATTTCAGCTGTAAAATGAAGAGATCTTACCGCCAATGTAGTATTGCACTTAAATTCAAAGCCTAGGTACCATAGAGGAACGTTCATCAGAAAAACTACCAAGAATGCATTTATAGAAAAGGCACAGTGAAGCTACGTTACTCGTAGG